ACAAAGTTTCTCATGTCACGTTTCATTTTTTGGTGAAGATGCATGACTAAGTTGAATCTGACAAAAAATAGGGTAATGGTCTGTCATGCAATTTTGCCAAACAATAGAGGAAACACATTTTTCAGATATATTGCAATAAATATGATCTATTAAAGTAGTGGTTGAACTGGTTACTCGAGTCGGTTGGGTTATTACTGGAATTGTGGCGTGAGACATCAACATTTCAAGAAAACTTCTTGTAAATGTTGAGGAGCTTAACAAGTTAATATTAATATCACCTAATATAATTAATTTCTTTTTGTCAATTGCCAATTGGTACAGAGTATTGCTAAGCGCAGCCATAAAGTCAGATTCGCTGGATCTTGGATGTCGATACACCACACCAAGAACTATCGAAGAAAAATTTTCAAAGTGAATAGGTATTTCAACCCAGAGATCAAGTGGTTCTAATTTTTTGTCAAATACATGGGGGCAAGTATAAAATGAAAAAGTACATTTTAAACAAGTAGAGCAAAGACAATCACAGCTTGTAAGCAAATTATTAGAACAATTAAAGCAAAATTCGCTGGTAGCCATTTTTACTGACCTAATATACAAATATATCAGCAGACTATTTAGGAAGTTCAAGGTCTGAGAGCTCTGATATTGGAATTCTGGGACTATCTTTAGATTTGCACATGAAAATTTTGCCATTGGTTGTCCACAGCCTCTCATACATTTTAGACTTTTTCACCAGTCTTGAGTTATATAAAAGATTATTCCTAAAACGTGTGAAATTTTCATTTATGTAAAGTGAGTTCATACCTGTTATACCAAAGTCTATGGACTCAAAGGACTATGGAGTTCCGGAAAGCTGAAAATCAATGTTCACAACGGGCGACGCACTTTTACGACAATAAGGATACAAAATAGTAGAACAAATGGCAGGTTTTTTTCTTCGTTCTCTCTGGTAGGAAAAATTACGGTAATTAACAATCAGTGCAATCAGCAATGATATTTTGAAGTGTATTCGAATTGCAGCGCTGACATACGGTCTGATAGTTAACCTAAATATAACCAACTACCTTCAGATATTTATTTTCGTTGTGCAAACCAATTTACGATATGAATATCTCGTGATATATCCAATATTGTAACTTGGAACGAAGGAAAGAAAAGCGCCATGACGCTATTTCATGCACGGTAAAAAGCAACACCAAAACCCAATTGAGCTTCATAAAAATAAATCTCGGAGGAATGCGAGTGAGATGCAGTAATAATTTCAGCACATTAAGTCGTGCGTGGCGTCTCATATATGATGTCTCTTTAGAGTTTAGATAACAATGTTCTTCGGCTATTGGATTCCGAGTAAACGGAGTCAAATAGTTCCGCCAATATACAGGCTCGGTCGGGAGTTCTGCATCGCTGTTCCAATTAGAAGTAAGATCGGGCCTAAAAATTCCAGTCCGACCCAGGCCCGTGGGTAGCCTATTAAACCCGACCCGAGCCCGACTAATTAACTGAATTTGGATGCCCGAGCCCGAAATTTCATATTTTATTTAGGATTTCTCTAAATTGTCATTGCAAGAGTTTAGTACAGTATGTGTTGTGTTGATGAGGCAACTTCTGTTTTTTTTGCAGACCACGGTCTTTCGTGGTCAAAACACGCCGAACGCCTCATTTAAAAAAAAAGTCAGCAATAGAGAAGCCCTACCCGACTCGAACGCAATGATTGACATTTCAAGCTAGACCCGGCCCGAATTTCGGGTCGGGCTTCATATCTTAGCTGTAGTATCAATCAGATTAGGTTTACAACGATATATCATCCGTGATTTTCAATAACCATGTCTAACGATGCCGATAACTGTGTACACTTGATTATATATTATTATATTATCTATCTTGGTCGATATATAGTCGGGAAACTAAATTTGTGGATAGAGGTGGGCCTATGTACCAGTAGTTTACACGCGAATTATGAGCTGTCGCAGGAACATGCATGGAGATGGAACTAACTTGTTTCGTAAGCTTTATATTGTCTGCTAGTTTTGACTAACAACAAATTTTAGGCAAAGAACATGGGTACTTTCATTACTAGCCTATTCTGTTAAAACTTTTCTAAAACCCCATAGCATAGAGAGGGGGCATTGACTACAATGGCGTCATTTTTATCAGTACTACGCTAGATGGCGTAGGTCAGACATAAAAATTGAGGGATTCATAACTGGCTCGCTCTCATATTGATTCGAAAAGACAAACAAGAAAGGCAGTTGAACCTTTAAAAAATTTGATGAAAATGAGCGCGCTGTTTTGTGTTTCGAAAATACATTAACGAATTCTCATACAACTGACCTAAGATATTGTTTTTCGGAACGACATTCCCGATTCCCCAAAAAATAGTCTGGTATCGTTATGTGAACATGTACTTATGTGCTTATATATAATTTACAATGTCTTTAATAAACAGCGCAAAGTTTTCAATTTAAATGGTTTCCACTTTCTTGATATGAAAGAAAGGTTATAATTCTACTATAGATTTCTAGTATTGGTATTTTGGATATTAAGGCGCATGAAAAGTGCGCAATCATTATTCAAAAGACTTGCGATTCATATAAATAACATCCGTTCGGCGATTGGCCGCTTCGCAGCTTGACAATTTTTATTTCGATTAGATTATTTTACTGTGCTCATGCTACTCCACGCAAAAGGTTTTATTTATTTACCAAGAACTGCGATGTATCTCGTCTGTGGTGTTACGAACAACCCACAAACCAGTCAGCAAATTTTTACTATCAGTAATAGATAGGAGGGCAAATGCCTCCCAATATTTGCAGCATATGGTAACTTTATGGGGCAAAAACAATTTTGCAGACGTTGGAATTGCTTTGTTGACTCGGTTTGTTTGACTAGAAACGACGAGGAGCGTTTCGTGATAAAAGTGTTCTTCAAACTCTCTCTCAGCTGACGCGATCTTTTTATATCGAGCTCTCCAAAGAGTGAATGACTCCTTAATGTTTCGGCAAATAACCGGCGAAAATAATCAGCTGATCAATAAGCCTGGCGAGCAAAAGTAACATATGAAGGTTATTATAAAAAAGGGCTAGTTATATGACCAAAACTAAATTGTTATAATTAATAATATAAAGAGTAACAAGATTGATTGTTGCGTGTATATGATGAATGAAATCGAAAATGAAGATAAAAATTTCTGAACTTTTTCATAGCTTCTGGCCCCATCTTTTTTGACGGTCAGTCGATATAATCGCAAAGCTGATTTACATCTAAGATGCACTACACAGAAGAAATAATTGAATATACTTGGTGAGTCTTTCAAAAATTCGCAAGTTGAACTTTCAGAACATTGGATGTGTTTTTTAATGATGATACCTGTTCAATTATATATCGTTATACTTATATGTCCTAATTGATATTTACCATGGTCGTTTTACACTATGCGGCTTTCCCTAAATAAGAATAAAAGTTTGTTTGGATGAAACTGATTAAATAAAAAACAATGGTCGAAACTGGTGTCCAAACACGCGCTAAGAATTATCCTTCAACAGAACTAAAAATAATGTTCGCCTTACCGCAATTAAAAATGATATAAACAAAAAAAATAAGGAATTATTAATAGAGATGTTGGTGTAACGCATTGATATAATCAATATTAGCCCTTGGCTGAATTTTAAGAAACAATAAACAAAAGGTTCCAGAAAATAGAAACGCAATGAAAGTGATTGAATCCCAATTGCGCTGTACTCTATACTAATCACATTCAGACTTATTTTGACATCTACCAAATTTGAACAACGATACACATATTACATTGAGTTTTCGTCTGAAATGCACACCTTCCCAATGGGTGTAGATGGCATTATTCAGAAGGGATGCTGAAATTAGTTATTGTTGATTATTTCCCGTATGTACTCCAACGCGCACGATATGTTATAAATTCGGCACGCAACGCTGGACCGTACATATTACTATCCTACCAGTAGCTCTCTGCACATCGGTTGTAGCTTATATAGAGCCTTGTTCAGAACGGAGAGCTTGAAAACGTAGTAAAATTACCCCAGCAATTCAATCAACATGGCTTTATCACGCTCACCGGGTAACATTTGATGTGGAGTTTTAAAAACTTTGTAGTCTGAAATCATGCATCCCCCCAAGCCATAATACCCATATCGTTTGAACATTGCTTTGAGCATGTTAAGTAGTAACTGTTTTCAATCACATGCATCATATTCACACACCCCGTGGAATTGATTGGCTTATTTTGCAGTTCGTCACTGTACACCACCGCCTGTCATGAAGCAATAAACATGGAAACACAAATCGAACATTCTCGTACGGTCCAACAATTTACGCTGGCAAGTGCTAGCATGACGGTATGATTTGGCGATAAGTTAAACAATCGCATACTATAATAATTAACACGTAATCGCCAGCTCTAACGTGTTCTTTTCGTCACCTGCCATACCTGATCATGTTGCCTCTGGATTTGCGGTCAGTGATAAACCCAAATATGTATTGGGCGGTACCAAGTGAAATTAACGAGGTATATTTTTGGTTGGTACTACTGTGTAGATATAAATACAGTTGATGACTTGAGGCGTATACCTAAACACCAGCCTTAAAACCTATGCGTTTATGACGAATGTGTCATTTATATCCGTACTCCATATTATCAAAAAAAGTCGAGTCATTCCTGAAAACAATACCGGACTATGGCGGCGCTTCGCGACAATCAGGCGCAGTTTAACCAAAATACGTCGCGAAAAGAAATGCGCTTTACGGTGTCCGAAATTTTCACATACCGAGATCCAACGCAACGAAGGTTTGGCGAAGAAGGCGTGTTGGCGGGCTCCCGCTGAGCCATTCAATCAATCTGTTGTTTTGCGCACGACCTGCATAATTTATTAAAATACACCGCACGACATTTTGGTAATGAACTTACAGGCCGGCTTCTACGTTCAAATGCGTCATTACTAATAGCGACAACAGTAAGGCAACACTATTGATTTCTTTTTTAGTATTTGTATTGCGTATCACAAAGAAAAGTAGTAGCTGTACACTTATGGTGACAACAAAAAATCACAGTACAGTATTATATCACTAATAAACCTGATATAAAAGCTCATGTTAAATTTAAGCATTTCTATGATCGCAGTTGACAATAATTCAATGTGGACTAAAGGGCAACTAACTATAGGGGGAAATCGTCAGTGGAAAACTACTGGATTTGGGGAACTTTTAAAGTACAAATCTGTCTAGGCTTCCACCTAATATCGGGAGTCTCCAGGCTCTCCACAAAACGTTCTAAAATATTAGTAATACCTGGAATCAAAATAAAATCAATTGCCTAAAATAATAATGAAAGTAGAAGACACAAAGTGGTACAAATTACTAATTTGCATGTAAACGGGACTCTCAATTATTTTTAGTGTATACCAAATGGAAAATGAACCAATATTTTATTTTACAGTATATCTGTAGCTCTTGCTCGGAAAAATGTAGCGATTCGGATAGACACATATCAAAGCCAAACTGGCTTCATTAAAATGAATTCCATCTGTAAATTGGTACTTGTACATGTATGAACACTTGAAAATACTTTCAATTTAGCTGAGTGATAATATTTGGCCTAATGTTGAACTTTGAACATTTGGAAGACAAATGACTCAACAGGCAAATTTGCTCTTAAATTATGGATAAAACACTTTGATACGAGAACAGTGTAAAAATATACCATGCGACATAAGAAATGCACCACGATACAAGAGCAACAAAGCATTAAAGCACAAATGCATAATCAGTTCACTCATTTAATATATTCAGTAACTGCTCGCAAGGCATAAAGAAGCTCAACTTGGAAGCGACCTTCCAACAAAACAATGTTGACATGCACCTTTTCAGAATGCCTGAAATGTTTCCAGAAACCATCATAAACAGGTTTTGTGGTTAATTCAGGGTAACATGATGCAGTTTTAATGAATAATTTTAATGAACGCTCGAGTAATTCGTTAACTTCACCATAATTATAGTCATCGAACATGATACCGCAAGTGCAATGGATGTACATCCAAATTGCACGACGTAACTTTGAAGTATCAACATGTTCTTTTGTGGCAAGGGTGTTGTAGGTTAGATTATAGGCAGTGTCAAATTTGGCATCTAGCATGTCTCCCACTGGCTGGTAGTAACTGTTTACAAGCGAATATGCATGATCTTGCCAATTGAAATCCATTGCTCTGAATGTCGGAATTCCATTGCTATCACTTCTTTTTGCGAAGTCTTGATAGCTAAAGTCAGCATCATCAATGTACTTGAGTAAGTATGATTTATCGTCTTCTAAAATATCTTCCTCAGTGGAACTGCTTGGAAAAATTTCAGTAGCAGCTTCAATCTTTTGCTTTTCAAAGCGTCTGTTCATTTCTTCTCGTGTGACATCCTCGTAATTCTCTTCTTGAAGCTTCTGCATTCTTTGCATCAAAGCTTCAATGGCATTTTCTCCTCCAGTTTCACCAATGCCATTGATACAGTTTTCTGTATCCCCTTTGTTATCGAATGGAACATCATTTGAAATGCAATGTAGAATTGCACTGTTCTTCAAATCAATAGCCTGCATGTGATCAATTTCCAAATTAATTCCAGTTCCGTGGCAAAAGATAGCCAAACTGTGAAAGTGGCAAAGCAATACAATTGCTTGAATCAGCTCAGATTGGGACCACTGCCAACCTTTTCCGCCAGCGCACAATTCCTTTATGTGATGAACAGTGATCAACCAAGGTCTGTGAGCCAGTAATTTGTTTAGTGTTGAAAGAGCCTGAAGTTTGGGGCAAGCATGTTCAATTCCACGTAACCATTCTGGGTTACCCCCTGCCATCAAAAAATCTGTTTCCATTAGATGCACAAGGTAATGACACTTGAGCCTTGCTGCTGCAAGTATACCAATATAACTTCTATAACAGTGTGGTAAGGCACCATCACTTTTTAACAGATGCATATTGACAGAAAGAAATTCCTTCAAGTATTGTGGATGCATTCCCATTACAAGCACCATATGTTCAAGCCTACACGTTTGAGCATAACTTTCTACGTATAAAGAATAAACTTGCTCATCGTCGGTATCAACAGGAGGTATATGACTGTGGGGAATGAAAGAACTGGGTTCTTCGACCAAGATTTTAGGTATATTTATACCTTGGTTTTCGAAGTAATGTAGGGTTTCTTTACACCCTAACCTCACGTCGTCAAAAGGACACCACATGCTTAACCTTAGAAAAGACTTCAAAAGGTGAGTTAATACTTGATCTGGAGTCCCGAATGCGTTCAGATCTACCTCTTGTGAGTTTGCGGAATTTGAAGATATTGCACATTTTTCTTTATGTCCGTTGGAGGTAGGACTTGCGACACGTGAAAGGACGTCGGTTATTCCATTTTTCTCCACTAAATATTCAGTTAAAGTAGAAGTGTGTTCCCTTAGAGATTCCAACGCTAGATCCCGTGTAGCTCTGTCTTGACTGGTTAATAAAATGAACTGTTTTTGCGTGCCTTCATACGTTGGTAAGAAAGCGTATGACGCATTCAGTGCGGAAATTTCATCATCTTCCGGCATGCCTGCAGTCATGTTGTTTGCGACCTTACATATTTCGGGTCCAACTGATTCAAAATATGTAACGCACGACATCTAAATGCCTCTACTTATCGAAACACTTGCACAACCTGAGCTAAATGGAAAAGCAAACATTAATGCTAGACCGGCATAGCCCTACGCCACACAAAGGACTTACTGGACAAATAACATGTTTACAGCAGAGATCTATGACTATGTTGACCGATAGTTACATCGAAGAGAAATGAGGAGAAGAAAGTGAGAGAATGGAAGACCAGCTGTACTTTTCCTGCCATGCTTGAATACGTACAGGGTACAAAATGACATAATATTCAATAACGGTCGTGTTGCCAATTCATATTTTGAAAGTGGTATAGACAATTTAGGATAATAAAAAGCATTACTAATATGTTTATAAATATTGTAGCGTACAAAATTTGCAATAATAATAAATAACGCTAATCTTTTAAGCATCGTTATAAATTATACAACATTGCATCATCTGACAGCGTTGTTGTGCAATGTGCCATCCAGGAAATGCCTATCGCTCGTCTGCTCATTCTCTCTTTTTCTCTCTTAATTAATGACATCTCGCTGTTGAAACAAAGATGGATCGAAAGCGCACGGACAGACTGAATTTTAATACGTTTTACTTATTTCAGATAAAGAAAACTTTGATGAGTAACTATGGAAAAGCACAAGTAGGTCGAGCGATTGCGGAGATAGCAAAATGCTGTGTTTTTGTACACCAAAACGGCGAACTGACCATGTTTACGAACTCAAGATATATATGCGAATTTTTTCTCTTGGTTATCTTGGGTAGATAAAGTGTTGCTGCATATATGATTTCATTCAACTTCATAATTGAAGAAATGATATGACCCATACGAATCTAAAACGTGTGGAAGGAAACCTATTTTTAAAAAAAGTAAAATTTTTGCATTCATATCTTCCGCAAATGACTAAATTTCACTAAAAAGAAACACATCAATGACGCGTGACAATTTCGTAATTTGGTTAATCAATATTGTTGATGAAATGGCTTTATTACATCTATAATTTAGCGTGAAATATGTCGAAATCACGAAATAAAGTGTCTTAGGTTTAAACAAAAATTGCACCGAGTTAAATTGACTGGATTTAATAAAATGTGTTGAGTCACTTGAGTGCACGAAATATTTCGGAGAATTTCCATGACAAACAGTAATGGAAACTATACTATATCGATCATTTCTAGATCACATTTCGTCTGTGACAATCTTATATTCTGTTTGAACATGGGGCAACAATGAGCAATAGCGTTCGTTTTAATGAATATCTTCGCCTGAGCAGTTATATAACCGAATATTTTAGTACCGTATACGTTACATTCAGAAAGCCTACATTACAAATTTGTCTTTTCATCTCCCTGAAGATTATTACTGCATTAGAACAAGTTCACAGACCTTTTACTTAATATATCTATATAATAGCGGGTGAATATTTTTCTTGCTGCAAATATATTTGTGTTAGTGTGCAGCAAGATTAAATAGAATAGTCATTTTCACTTTTGCTATAGCATCCTTGCCTTATACGCATACGGATCAATCTGCGCAAAGGCATAAAGCAAGGAGAGGTAGTTTAGTTAGTTTTACGTAACCCCAACTGTTATTTTTCTTGTATTTTTATTTTAAATCCAACAGTTCATAGAAAATAGAAGCCCGAACTATAGCAGATACCCAAAAACTTTTAGTGAGGTATGTTTCCTATTTTTTGATGACATCCAAAACCAACTCACTCTGACTAACATCGGACAAATGAACACGGAGTTGTATCGCATGTTAAGTTTTATATATGCTAAATCGGGTTTTTCTTTTTTGAGGCTGTTCTTTCACACTGAGTCACGTGCAAGTTTTGATCGGACTTCGCTGAACTAATCGTCAAAGCGACTTAAAATATTGCTAATACCCAATATTTTAATAATTCAAACGACGGATTATCCGTGGATTATATTTCCGAATGTGAGCAGCTTAATATACCCAATGATTTCCCCTTTGTTAATCCCATGTTTGCACTTCCCAAATTAAACAAAAGAAAAACTTCCCATAAATATAACTGCATAAATTACATTGAAATTATGAGACAAATAAGGGAACCAAAGTTACGTGATTGGTATTTTATGTACGCCAAAATCGGACCACCTTACTCTCGACAAAATACAAGGTATCAAAAGTTAAAAGGACACAAATTCAACGTACAGAATAATTTATATCAATTTTCAAATTTAAAGAGGTATATAAATGAAAAATATCAATCTTTGTTCATAACCAATATGGCGCTAAAGACATATTCGGAAGATAAAATCTAATCTCGCTCAATGTTTGTACAGCGAAATCCTACACTCCATCTCTCTTTTCTATTCTGTTGGTAATAGTATAGATTATTAAATTGAAAGAGCGAAAAATAGGTTGGACGATCACGCAATTTACCAAAAAATGAAATCCACAGACCTGTGACGAACGCGACAAGACAAGTTGAAACATGCCCATTCTGTGTTGCGCAATACCGCTGGTCGCTCCTTCAAACTAAGAAATAGTTCTGGCTAAGTTTCGTACAACTGCGCAATCCTAGTCAATCGTAAAGTAATAAATTGAAGCCGTTTAATTTTATTCGTTCACTCTTTGTTTATTGCAGCGCAAAGCAACAAAGAAGTTAGCCAACATGTAAAACGTTGCTGATTTATGGCCATGTATTGATCAGGTTAAATAAAAGACAGCCAAAGACAAATGTTCGTTAATTCATCGGCATTCGCAAATTGGTGTATTTCTGTCTGCAACTGATGAAGAGACTAAATTTCTGAAGTAAACAGTCATAAATATTTCAGACAAAAGAAAAAAAAAGTCGCATGCTGTGCACGATCAAAGTGTCGTTCATTTTATACCCCGAAGTTAACAAGAACCTCAATAATTGAACGGCCGTTCTGAGATGCATATTGCAATAACACTGCACTTTCAATGGTGGGAGAAAGCGCCAATCGCCCTGCTACTACATATCAAATTTAAGTTGAATTCTATTAACGGCTTAGTAAACTAATCGATATAAAATCGACTTATGACTACTGTTACATATTCGTCATGCCTTCATATTACACCTTTTAATTTGTCCTATATGATTCAATGCATGACTGTAAGTTTGTTGAATTCTTGATATGAAAACATGCGAATATTACTCTGATTATGGGGTAGCAACTCGAAGAATTCGTACTTTGTATAAAAAAAACAGTCGCGTGGCTATCTACGTAGTGTATTGTCAACTTGGTAGTCAAAACTGCGAATGAGGAATTTCGAAAAGCAACAGTTTAGTTAGTCGATATCAAGTAGTGAAACTTTGGTTGGTTTCTAGAAGGATAATTGAATATTATGTTTCATACCTGCTGAGACAGCATAACATTTGCTTGACAAATATACTGTTTACTGCGTAAATATTTTTCTATTTGTATGTGTACTTGTCGCTGATATTGCGACAGTTGGGCGGCGGACAAAGAGGCACCCGGAGAAAATTGAAGACAAATGTTTTGCGATGTGTATATTACATAATCTTCAAATTAACTTATGCACATATGTAATCAAATACCACGATTAGTTCCTCTTATGCGTGCACCGAACACTTCTCTTTCTAACAGTTTTTACCAGCGATTCTGTTCATTCTTCGTGTCTCCGAATTTTTGCAAGCATTATTATGAAAACATTCAAGTCATCTGTTTCATTTTAATTAGAAAACGAGCCCTTTCATCACATTTCTCTGTGAAAATGAAGCGCCATTCTATTTTATCGAAAATATACAGAAGAAATTGAAAGCCAACTCTGCGCACGAACCGGCGAAATTGACCAGTTCACCCGGCATCGCACTGCAATTCAATTGGACGGCACTCGGAGTGTCGCGTAGTCGCATGAGGTAAAAAATTCTCTCGAAATTTTGACCTAGAGTTACCTACCTTCTATTACAAGGAAATGCCTTAGTCGGCAAAGGTACGATTCCTAACCGGCTAAGTTTAAAGGCCTGCAATCATTAAAACTTATCCAATGCGATTTTGATATTTTTATTATATATATTATTTAATGATACCGATGAGATATTTTCGAGGATTTATGGCGAAAAATTTATCGAGGACGTCGCGTGGGGAAGTTGTATGTCTCAAGTTCTCAACATTTATTGCATAGGTAAAAACTCCAAAATTTTATCCAAAATCAACAGGGTGTTGTTATATACTCAAATTAGTTCTACGTGTACTGTTTAAAATGATCGATACCAACAACCTTAGGAAAAAGTAAATTGTTGTGCAGGAAGATGCGACAACAAATGTGTAAATACTTTTTTGCCATCCTCTGAGATAAAAAAAGAAACCATTCAGATAATATTCGAAACGAGTAACCTAAAAAGACGATAAATTAAAATCGCAAATCCTAGATGAATTGGACAGCATAAAACAATATTTCTGGTTCATTGAGACTTAAAATTCAGCTGTCATTTTACCTGAATGGCATATTTTTCGCGCATCATTTGAGGAAACTTATTCTTTGTCTTCCTAATTTTTCTGAATATGACAAGTCCAATTTTTTGTCTTTTTCTGACAAAAGCTGAATTAAATGTACATAGCGCAGCGCAGGATACAGATAAGCTTCAGTTTGATTCTTTTTCTCGTATAATTATTTTATGAAATGAAAATCGTGCCGCAATTTTAAGAGCAAAATATCTTTATTGAAATTTTATTATAAATGCACGACATTAGATGACTATCAATCTAGTGCCCAGCAATTACCGGTGTCCGCGAGCCCGGCGCGCTAGAAAGACAAACAGATTATACTTTTACGACTGGTTGTGAGAAAATTTTGCTTTTATTAAAACGTAAGTTTCAATCACTTGTACCATTTTTCAACTCATCATCGATTGCAAAATGCTAAAAGAAAATTCTCTTTGAAGCAGTTTAATTAATAGCAGCGACAGACAATAGTTTTCTTTGTCGCTGGAAGCATATATATATATCGTTAAGCATATATGTATATATATTACCAACAGACGCACTGGGTCTAGCTTAGGGTTGCCATACCGTCCGGAAAATTCCGGACATGTCCGGAATTTAGGGTTAAATTTTGCGTCCGGGAGGAATTTTAAAAAATGCTCAAATGTCCGGAATTTTACTGCATCTGCAATCGTAATGTGCACACTGCTAATACAGAACATTGTTATTTCGTACCGTGCGCATATTTTTACTACGAGGTTGTATGAAATTGTAATATAACAGAGCGTTTTCCTTATCAATGGTGTTAAAGTTGCAAACTTTGCAAATGCTTTTAGTACTTGTGCAAATGGATGAAACCAATGGAAGAGTTTACTTATTTCAAATGGATAACCTTGAACGAGATACCAAGTTGGAAGGATGTAAAGCAGGGGTGGCAACCTACGGCCCGCAGGCCGGATCCGGTCCGCGGACCAATATAATCCGGCCCGCGACGCTTCACTGGATTATAGTAACAAAACAGCTGTTTTAACGATTATATTCTTTACGTAACAGAATTAATTTTGCGACACGCGTAGGCTAAATTATGTTATAACCTAACAAGTATATAATTCACAATTGCGCGCTTAATGACCCTATAATTTAATTATAATTACACAAATGGCAACAAAACGCAGAAAAGTTGATGCTTAGCGCAAATGGTTTAATGGTGCAGAAAATATTCAAATGGTCAGTCTTCGTGCACTGCTCTAAATTTAACTTCTAATCTGTGTGAAAAAGTGTGATTCATCGGCTATCCGTTCGGTTTTCAACATTCTAAAAATATGAGGCCCGCCAATGACTTGCAACCTTTGGTTTTGGCCCGCGAGCGACAAAAGGTTGCCGACCCCTGATGTAAAGCCTTGCCTGGAAAATCTGATTAGTAAACGGGTTGATGTGGACGATGATAAATGATTTGACCAATTCTGTAACTTGAAGCAGTTTGTGGAAAGTTACCACCTACAAGACGAAGAATTTATTAAACTGCCAACGCATAAGAAATGGTGCAAATATTTCGATCAGTCTACGAACATCACATGCCACTCCGAAATTTTAGGGATTGAACAGTTTTTCTTTGCTATTACATCCCACAATGCCAATATTGTAGAGAGAGTCTTTTCACTGATGCAAAGTCAGTGGACTAAAGAGAGAAACAATTTGCGACTATAAAAGGCATGTTGACTCTCCAATATAATTTCAAAGATATGCACTGTAGTGAATTGTTTTCATTTTTGAAATCAGACAAGGAGAGAATGAGGTCTTCAGAAATATATGCATGGTCGGAAGAGTAAATTTGTAGTGATTGTCTTTAATTCGTTTTAAGCATGTAATTGCTGTTCTTCCGTTTTGGCACAATCTAATTCTCATTCTTATTTTTCACTCTGAAGTTGAGATTTTTTCAGTCGACGGCCCGTAGCTATATTTAGAGTGTGCTTACCTGCCTGGTGTGAGATTCTGCTTGTAACTGAAGACAATACTTTTCATTTCGGTAGCTGGCGCTTTAGCATGAGTATCGTACAACGTCAGCATGAGTATCGTACGGCCTTAGCATTTCGGTAGCGCATATATATGGTCTCATGAAAATAGGGACCTCCTGAAAGAAGTATGTGCACCAAGATGGCGCACAACCTGAACATAGTTTTTGTGTACCGGTTAGGACTAAGGTTGTGCGACATAGTCATGCACTGTCCGGAATTTTGCTTTTTCAAATATGGTAACCCTAGTCTAGCTATGTTGTTGCCGCAACCTAAAGAGCTCTTGTAATGGTATGTGATAAACATAGCCACCAATAAAATATCATTAGATGATTGTTTATTCAGAACAAGTGCGGTGCTATATACGTTGCAAAATTCAGTAATAATTAAATTTTCATTCCCAGACTCGAAATGACCAAATTTCTAACGATCGGAGATTTCCCTACACACCTCCCATGGGATGAACTCCCCAAAATGCTAACTTAAGTATAATTGTATCTAAATATATAGAGAGTGGCATAGATATCAGTGTTTATGGTCTGTCAAATACATAACACATTAGGACCTCCTGAAGTATGCGCACCAAGATGGCGCACAACCTGAACTCAGGTTGTGTACCAGGTTAGGGTTCAGGTTGTGTGACTGACATCTTGGTGCGCATACTTCAGGAGTACCACACATTTTTATACAAGTTACATATAGTTTTACATCTAATAGCAAAATATCTACCACCCCCTAATATTTAAACCACCCCTCACACCTAAAATGAAAAGCTGGGTAACATACTGTTATCGATAAATACAACAACGCATTGACGTTAAATGGCGGAAACAAAAACTCGCCTCCGCAGTTTATCTGTGGCTGTTATTTCGAGCGAGCAAACTATTTCTATAAAAAGTAAGTTGAAATTAGCTTGTTTAAGTGACTGTATTAGAATTATACAATTGAAGAGTGTGAAGTAGGTGGTACATAGGTGATTATTCGCAAGTCTGTACTTTACAACAGATATACTTAAGCGGATAACTATAATTATAAAATGCTCTCGGCATTCCCTGAAATGAGGGAAATTTTAACGTCTGATATGCGGCTATAAATTTACGTTTCAAGTCCCAAAACAATAGCCCTTTTAACATCTAGATTCTAGAAGTTTGCTTGTTTATTTCGGTTTTTAAATTTCTAAATGAATTAATGTTTTGACTCTACGACAGAACTAATATAAAGTGAAATCGTTACATCTTCTAACGTGTAAAAAATAGTTATATAGTGAATAGGAAAACGAAAATTTAAATACTAAAACAAGACTTTTAAACGCCCTTTACGTATGCATTTTTTCTTGAAAATATCTCACAAATCGAATATTCTATTTTTTATAAGTTCCATTTCCCTACTATAATATCAATTTCAGCCAAATTACAAATTTGCATAGCTCAACATTTTGAGAACGCCGTAAGATCAGACTTTCTAGAAAAACCATAACACAGTCAACACAACAACAGCAGCCTAGCGATATCAACGCACTTCGCTGACCTTACTCAGGATGTAATAATACGACAATTCGTTATGCTGGATTGATTTATTCAAAAACATTCACCGAATATTTTCAAAGAGAAAATGAAAATTCTCATTTTTCAAGCATTTAAAATACAGAATAATTAACGCACGAAAGCAATTATAAAGTGCATTTCTCAATATCCAATAACAAAAAAGCCTTATTAGTCAGAGATCTGAAAACCACAAAAACTCAGCTACTAAGACATACTCCAATAAATCTGAAATAATAACTATTTAGGTTAAAATCTACTTGAAAAGAATGGAACGTGTTTTAGATAAACTAAAAAATATATATAATTCTGTTTGATTGCTTTTCAGCACAGTTGCTGTAATACAGTGAAATAAAAAAATACAATTTAAAATACTTTCCGTTAAAATTGAAACAAAATATTAAGTTACCAAAGGGCGTCAAATATTAATGATCCCCTGGAAAGAGTAATCAGCCACAAATGGGAATGTTTACATTTATAATAATAGTAATAGGATTTAGAATAAGATCTTTTTCAATAATTGGGTTAAAATTACTTTTTTTTTGTGACTGTATTAAATTTTGTTTGAGCTTTACTACAAAATAAATTTATTTATATCACTTAAAATTTGAATCAATTGGAATTTTCGACAAATGTGAAAACACAGTAAGTATTTATACCCATGTGACTCTCTTTTTAAACAAACTGTCGGATTAGGATTTTAAGTTTAATGGAGAAAAATCAGACTGTTGACAAGGTCCACACTAAATAGTTTGGTGAGCCGGGTTGTTGCACATGCTGTATTTAACCATGAGTACATGGACAGTCATAGACCTATAAAAAAGGTATGTACCACTTCATGTTTGACTCATAATAAGTAAAGAAGAATTTTTGTCTGCTATGCTTGAGTTCAAGTACTTGATAGTGAAAATTAAAATAGAGCATTCTTGCAAAAACAGAATTCAGTACGGTGTGGTAAAAGTAAGTGAATAAGAAAAATTAGTTGCACGAACTGTACATGGTGAAAAGGTAGTGCCAATATTAATAATAATACTATTCACAGGGTGAAGTACCCCAGGTACATTAAATTAAATATATATTATAAAAAATTTGAATTTGAATAAAAATAGTTTGACATAAAAGATTTTATTTTGCCTGTAAGTGAGGAAAATTAACTTTTTACCAAACGTTGATCAGAAATCAGGGCCATAGCCAGGAGAGGGGGATGTTGAGGGTCAAAACCCCCTTTTAAAAAGTAAACAAAAAAAATCATACATAGCAATTTTTCGTAGCTTGAGACGTATTTTAGACTGTTACGGTTTAACTTGGATATTACAAATTTCAAAACACTCCTCTTAAAATTCCTGTCTACGTCCCTTCCGATAAGGTCTAATTAGCACCCCAATTTTAACTGGTTTATATGTTCAAAATGTACATCTACGGCAAACACAGTGCATAACAATATCGCAGTGAACTTTACTAATTAAAAAGGAAATAGGTAAAATAAGACGACGTTATCACATGCAAATATATGTATATAAAGAAGCAATCTGGAAGCCACTCAGGCCATAGAACAGGCTGAGAAGCATCAAATTTGTTTGAAATAAACATAAAAGGAATTTCATTTTGGTGTGCCACAATACCATAAAATTCTTAGCAAAACACAGTCTGCTAATGAACAACAATCAAAAAGTGTTGTATCAGGACAATCATAGGAAAATAAAAAAGTTTTTTTTATATTTTTATGCCTGTAAATCAATTATTATTAATGTTATTACTACATTCCAAAACAGCCATATAGTAAGTTTTATATCAAATAATTGCTTATAAGTAAAACCAATAGCCACAATAGTTCAATAGCCACAATATATAACTGAAAAAAACAAACATCCAAAACAGTATCACATATTAAAGATATGGAGGAATTCATATTTTTTCTCCAATTTATCACTTTTTAAAATAATGCAAATACACCATTGATTGCTTTACTCCAATCCAAATCCTTCAGCATTGCTAACAGCGATTGTCAGTTTCTGCTCAAGCTGTGATCTACTTCCATATGGTGGTAATAACAGTTGGTTAAAACATGTGTGTGCCATCGGTAACCTGAAAACAAATGTTTCTTTATTTATTATACGATATATTATATACACAAGTGCATTCATTTTGATACAAATATGGGCTTGAATGACACATAAATGGCTTAAATGTTTTGAAATAGTGAATACACGAACACAAAAAGAACAATTTCAGGAACTTCAGTTTGAAACTCACAGTATTATCAGACAATGGGAAAAAATTGCTTGCAATTTGACTGCAAAACCCATTCAAAACAACATGGACCGAATGTCTGACGCAAACAATCACATCACAAAATATTTCCAAATCCGATATTATTCAACTGCTATAGCTGCAGAGTATGTGCAATTAAGAAATGAATTATGTCTGCCAACCCACAGTGCTAATAGCTACATATTGATTACCACATTCAAATTAAGTATAAGATAATGCATTACATGTTTTGAGCGGTCGGCGCACGAATTATTTTAAATTTCAAGTCCTGCATTCCTCCGACAGGCACTCTGTCGCTTCCTGTACAGAAATGCAGCAATTTCTTTTGCATGTCACGTTGCATATTGAGTGTTACGTCCCAGAAATGAAGGATGGTCGGATCATTTGCAGCAAAACCCTGATAGATAGAAAGTAATGATTGACAAATAGGTTCTTTATTATATAGTCCTCACATGATTTATGATGGCTATAACAATAATTACCTTGTCTGATTACTGAATATAAATTGATAATCTGAAATTTATACATTTGCAAGTCAATAATAAAAATCCTATTTGGCTATGGGCCATGGCATAATGACAGACCCTGATTCGCATTAATGTATTATAATTAGCAAATATTGAATTGCTTAAACATGTATAACGCTACAAAATTTATTTTCTACGCAACAAGTTCATGACGATTTTCATATAAGAGAGTTCAAAAGTAATACACACTGAGCTTGTGATCAATCATAATAAAAATAAAAACAATATGAACTGGGAAGTATAAATTACAATTGACAGAAATTAGCAAATACAACAAATGTTTTATGACATACACAAAATGTGTTTTTTAACATAATTGTTATTTAATGTTGATGAGCTGATAGGTAAACAAGAATTGTAGCCCAACAAGAATTGATCTTCAGAAGCATGGTGTGCAAGTAATATGAAAAAGTATGAATACTTCTGTAATCAAAAGATGAAATAATGTCCAACACAATACCAAATATATTGGAGAAAAAATGAAGAAGCACATAACATTCACAAGTCAAAATTTTCCATTGATATTGCAGAAATACTGCTGTATGCATATATATCATATGTATTCCATTAATATTTCGTCTACTCAAAAAAAGACTTTGAAAAGTGTAATAACAAAAATTCAGCAAATTTACTTTTTTACTATAAATTAAATTGATATCCTAATTTCCAGTCACAGTATCTGACAGTTAAAATGTGATTCCTTCAGTACAAGAAGGATGCTAAAATTCATGTTAAATTACAGCACAAATTATAATAAACATAATCAATCATGCTCAATGCCAAATGCACCAGACAGTATTCTAGTCAAGGTAATTTACATTTAGCCCGTTTCCGTAGAGACTTCCTATGTCTACAAACTACCAATAACAGGATAACGTAGCATAAATTTGCGACCTTAAAGCACCTAAAATTTTCTAGAAAATACCTAGATACTTCGGAAAATAATTTACATTGAAATTACAGTCAAATACGAAATATTTCTCCGTAATATATTTTGAATTGAAATATACTAACAAATCAATACTTCTGTATAAAATCAAATTGATACTTTTAATTTACCGGTACCAGACACAAATCCGAAATTTTGGTTGCGCAATTCTCCAAAATGCTTGCATTGCATGTTCTATACCCTATGTAATATATTTTGAATTGAAATATACTAACAGATCAATACTTCTGTATAAAACCGAATTGATACTACTTTTAATTTACTGGTACCAGACACAAATCCTAAATTTTGGTTGCACAATTCTCCAAAATGCTTGCATTGCACGTTCATATGTAAATTATTGTTAGGAATTGCCATTGGATAGTAGATAGAAGACAACACACATGCCTGAGAAGCTTGAATATGATAGAATGAAAAACACACAGATATATTGGAAAATATGCCATAATATGCCATATTTCATGAAAATGATAGATATCTGAAATTGAGATGATCGATTAAAAAACATATACACATTTGTATATAATTTGAATAATAAAATTTTGTTTCATACTCGATTATCCTACATAACCTTAAAATTGACAATTTGAATTTTAGATTTAATTGTATGTATTATACTCCTACACGATAGATGAGCTCAGAAAATTGCAAAATAATGAGGTTATGTCATAATGCAATATTGAATAGATAAATTGAAAAGCCTTTCTGTTATATCCTTTGAAGAATGGGAGAAAATTGTTCAAATGACTAGGCATTTATTTATGAATATGAGTATGACTCATCAGCAAAAATCAGTCATATCTCTTGATGCAATCCATTGAAATATTTTAGTTATTTCTGATGAGGTTGCGAAGAGGTAAGTTTGTTAAACCAAAACCACGGAACACAAACAGCTGCTAACGCAGCACAACACTTCCAGGTAATTGGGGATATTGTGTGCTTGTGTTAAGGCTTACGATAAATGGTTTACAAAAACAAATTTATTACCAAATATCCATTTATCAGAGACATTATTGTTATTAATAGACACAAAGAGGAATTATGGATCGCTTTTGTTAACTGTCCTATTAAAACAAAATTAACCATCATAAAAAATCTTTTCAATCAATATTGGTCAGATATCAGCTCATTCCACTACACAATAGAAATTTGCTGTACCAGCAAAAAAACTCTCAATCAGCAAAACCATTCAATGACTTCAAAAATATGATTTATATATCATTTCAACTGACCTATTTTCGATTTGCAAACCTATTTACAGTTGGATATATTTTGCTCCACATTTTTGTAACATATCTTTTCAAGAGACACTCAAAGTAGCAATAAGAATAATTTAAATAGAAATAACTCGAGTATATGATTTATCATCAGTTGATCTACATCAGTGTTCTTCACAAACTTTTTGCATCACAACCCAAATTGGCATGGCTAAATTTTTTCACGACCCCGAGGAACTTTAACGGGTCTCGCCTATTCTCGCACAAAAGATCTAATCTTGGCTCTATTTTGGTGATGGTGGGTCTTAGTACTGGTTCCAAAGCTTTCAAATTTTATAAATATTTTGTTTTACAGAAGTTAGTGTAAAAAAATAGTTGGCGTTAAAAATATTTTTACGCAGATAAGTGGAGGCACAACGAAGAAAGACTAGTTCTGAGAATAATAGGTATCATAACCCCCATTGAGCCTTTTCAGGACCCATGAGACCCAGCCCTTTGGGTAGAGAAAAGCCAATGAGGCAGCATAATCAAGGGGATGATGGGGGATGGTAGGAGTTGACCAGTTATTCGTTTCAGTTACATAGCCTTGATGGTGGAGAAAGCTACAACCAGCTGTTTGTAATGTGACCCATCCTAAAACAGCGGAGATACCAGCAGTCTTCTCAGTCTTGGATATACCTATCCCCACAATATTTATAAATGCAAATTCACAAAGAACTACAACTTATTTCGGAAAAAGTTCATCAACATACATACATTACAGTACAATATACTTCTGTCTCACCTCATATGAAGTATATTTCTTCAAATCTCGGAGATCAAACACTGGGTTTCCACAAGCTAATGTTTCAACTTCTTCAGCACACAGGAGTGATAAAGCACTGGAATCGCATACAGTGTGAAAGCCTTCATAGAAAGCACTAAATTGTCTGAAAAAAAGTACAAGTATTTGAAATTTTCTTCCTGTGCCTGAAGTCAAATATTTTTGCTATTATCATAACATGAGTTTGCCTATCCTTTGAGGTTATGTTATGATCATATGCAAAAAGACTTAGAAACTTCCCTACTACAAGTTAACTGCCCTTATTTTCCATCCATGTCTAGAACTACAGAAAATTAGCTAATCATTCTTGTGTTCTATCTGGGCTAGTAAGCAGTGAATGACGAAAAATAACTAGGCTGAAAGACCTACTCTCCCCTCTTCTAGATGATAGATAGACGTGAAATTGTATCCCATTCATATATAACAAAACACAAGATATAAACAATTAAATAATTTTATAGATTAGACCAGCATTCTTCAAACTTTTTCATCGCAACCTACTTGACATGGCCAATTTTTAAGGATTTAAGGATTAAAAATAAATTAACATTTAACATTACAGAAAATATCAAAATATCATTAGAATTGACAATTCTTTTAATGAGACCAATGTGCTTGCATATTTTTGCACAAAAGTCACAATCTTGGTTTTATTTCTGTGATGGTCGGTCTCGGGACTGGGTCTCAAGTTACTCAAATTTGATCAATATTTTGTCGTAACATAAGTTAGTGATGGAAAAGATTTACTGCAACCCCCATTTAGCCCACCGGGGGTCGGGACCCCCAGTTTGAAGAGCACTGGATCAGACAACAATTAGGCTCAGATCACACAGTGGTCAATTTACACAGGAAAATTGAGAAGTGCTGATTTTTAAATGAAAAGCCTAAAATGGATCCAGAATCTTGGTGGTATAACTTGAACATCCCTACTACAGTCTGAGAGATTCTCACCTATAAACAGACTTATTGATCAACCAGTTAAGATAATGTTGAATATATTCTCTTCTGTTCGCATTGGTTACTGGCAATTTATCTCCTGCTGGTTTAAGAATGTGAGTTCTATCGATACCAAATTCTTCTTTACTCGCAGTAAAAAAAGTTCCAAAATCTTCTTCTACGTTTCCCTCGTATTTCAATAATTCTTCGAAACCATGCGCCAAATCCTGAAAATTTCATGAACGTAAATTATCAGTCTTTATCTCAGAGATCAAATATGATTTTCTGAGGAGATGAACAAAATATTGGGTTTCATAAGCTACACAGAAAACTCATAGGAGAAATATCGGCAAAGAAGCTGATAAATGACTGACGACAGGCAAAATTTCTTACAACATAAAAAATCATCAAAATTGAAAAAAAGTCACAAAATGGCATGTTTTGCAAATTTTTAGATCAGTGGATTCCATCTTTTTTGGTGTAGCGAACCCTCATTGAAACATTAGAGAGGCACAAAGAAATTTTTTTTTTTTGTCTTTCGCAAAAAACATCATTTTATAAATAAAATAGAATTAAAACACCCATATATATATAAAAGCAAACTTAATATTGCCAAAACAAAATCATCTTCGAAGTGTGGGTTTAAAATAGCGGCAAGACATTTGATTATATTTGAACAATAAACATACAATAATATACTCTCGTATTTAAATGCAAACTTGCGGAACCCCTACGTAATTCCTCAGTAAATGAGCTCATTATACCAAAAAATATAATTTGAAAAAGCAAAAAATATCCATATTTCTCCGTCATGGACATAACGTTTACTTACTGGATCAATATCTGCAAGATCATCTAGTGAAACTGAAACGAGTCCTATCGGAGTAGCCACAGAAGATGGTTTATTGGTGGTGGATGGAGTCAATAATTTGCGATACAAAACCAAAGGAAATCTCAAGTCAAAAGTTATGCAGTTATAAACAGCCAATCCCATTAACTGGTAGAATAGTTTGTGTTAAGGAGTATCTATGTGCTGTTATGAATAGTATGTTAAATCTAAAGAATAAAGCACGATATTAGGGATGGTTGAAATCGCATAATATCTCATTCTGAATATATTAAAAAATATTATATTTGAACGATTCTAAATTGAGGAATGTTCAATAGAGAAAATTGCAGAAGATAAATCATTTCGAATCGATAAAAAAAATTGAATAAATGTTGATATAAGCAGCCTTCGAAATGATTTTCTTTATTATTTGTTTCAGAAGTTGACCAAATTCTATAGGCACACCAGACCTTCTCCACTACTTGACAACTTTTACACTTCCCAGCAAATACAGATCCGAATCTTTTTTCTAAAAACCATCAATCCTTTTAATGGAATTTTAATGTCAGAAAAAACTCCTGAATAAACGATTTTTTTAGGTGTTTTCAAGTTTCACTCTGAACCAGGATCTTTATAAGGCGCCACATATCTGTGTTGTGTTTAATATAATTGTGCGTTCTGATTAATCCACTTTTTCAGTTCTGAATCCTATCCCAAACCTGTTACATGAACTTGTAACAAATTTTTAAACAAAAATCAAACACTGAGTTGATTTTAAATTAAAAAGGATACAACTCCAACAAGAAAATAATCGGAGAAATTTTCGTTTTCACTTGTTGCAAACCAGTATGTACGAGTCCGATCATTATGCACGAAAGTTCCATAATCAGGAGATAGAACCTACCAAGAAAAAGTAGAAATATTGAAACGAATATTAAAATTTATTCTACAAATCATTGAATCACAACTGAAAGCTGTGATACCTATCAAATTTTATGAAGTAAGTATAAACTTCAATATCTCTTAGGGTGATTTAGAGATCTCAGGATTGAGTTCTGGCCGGGTTTGGGCCACTTATCAGCCTAATACCTTGTTCAAGAAATCATATTTTTTTTAATCATATCAGAGTGCTGTCTGCAAGTTAGTCAAATCTCTCATGACCTAATAATTCGAGTTCTAGTCAGTTGGGACATTGTTAAACCTAAGCCTACAACATTATCCACAAATTGTATGCTAAGCGGAGGTTAAATCAACCAAGTTAATTTTGGAGGTGTGCAACATTTTTTGTCGCTGGGCCATATAACCAACTTCAGACATCTAGCTGGGCCGCACGAAAAACTTACAGGGAAGGCAAAAACGAAAATGCAGCTATCGCTTCGTCTTACAGTAACGCGGGGTTGTAGTGGTGGGTTGCCTGTTGCAGACCCCCAAGTTAAATTCTTCTTAAAAAAATTTGATGGGTTCAGGACTTATTAGTTAATTACTTAAAAAAAAATTATTTAATGTTTCAAAAAGCCATATTTGATAATTGAATGTTATCTACCTGTCTCAACAATAGAAGGAACCATTCTTTGGTCAAACCACCCATATCATAGCCAGGTTCACCAATAAATTCAACTCGTAATTTCTTTTTAAGATGTCTTCGATTTCTGTAAATGAATCAGATTTCAGTTGAAAGCCCAAACCGCCCAAAAAAATTCACTATTCCAAGTATATTCGAAAAATATTTTTTATTATGGAATATTGAATATATTCTAAATTGGCTCCAGAAATTGACACAAATACAGTAATGCATATTCCTAGAAATTTGATTTGGTAAATGCACAATCAGGGATGTCCAAAACGAATCGAATATTCAAATTCATTCAAAATTCATCATATTCCACATAGTAAATTATTGAATTTAGGAGTAATTTGGAACATTCTTTCTAAAAAATTAGGAATTTGAGCTGTCAGCCAAGCGAATCTACACGACCAAAATCTCAATTGGTAACAAACAACACAGAGAAAACATTCCCTTTATGCTGTTTTAAATGGGATCAACACGAAGATAAAATGATTTATGTAATTTGCCACATGAACTTGCCTTGTAGCTTCCACATGAACAAGAATGTATTCGAAAATATTTTTTTCAGAATGTAATTGGAATAGTGAAATTTCGGTTTTTGGCCAATCGGTTTTGGCCAATCGGTTTTTGGCCAATCCTGTGCACAATAGCTTAGATATTTTTCCCAGCGTTAGAAGATAGATGGAGTATATTTTTCGTCAGACCAATACATGTCAAATGCTTGAAACAACAAATTTCAAAACATTTCTATAACCAAGAATTAACTATTTTGAAGGAACTCTAAACAACACTCATAAAAAGATTCTCTCATTTTTTCTCCAAATTTGGATTCAGTCAAGGATATGATTACTATTAATTTTCATATAAAATGTGGATGCATGATATTATACCCGTATATCTGTGACAATGAATCTTGTAGGAGATGTTGTCTTCGAATTTTAATATTGAGAAATAGTTGGTTAACGTCGGGTGGTCTTGTTGGTCGCCTAAAATATGGAAAATCTCATTGTTAATTATAGTTCAAGCTAGGAATGTATCCTGGGACTCTTTCCCTGTTGTATTATAAAAATGAACTTCATCTAAATGTGCAGATGATAACACAAATATACTTTTGAAAATAATCTTAAAGTTAAACATGCCATTACATGCTGGTCAATCAAATTATGGACCATTTAGAAAATGGCGCTGCCCCCCTCCAGACAAATATACAAATCCATCCATGACAGCAGGTTGAAGAAAATTGGGACTCTTAATCTAGCTGTCAACTTCGAGTAAAACAAATTTGACCATGAAAATAGTCTCTCGAGCTCAGCCAACTTGATGTTTTTTTAGTCTTTGTTGGAACTTTTGATTTCGATTACCACAATTTGGGGCCTGAATTCAAAATTCCTATTTTGTTTACAACTCCGAGGTGTTTGAAAATACAACTCCTGCCAACTCAAATATCAACAAAAGAATGCCAAAACTAAGCCCTGTCTGTTTTCAACAATCAAAACGAGCATGCAGTCAACCAGGTTTATGAAAGAACAGGAACATTTACCTTCTAACACTGGTAACAAGTTCATCTCGTGCCGTTCTCACCATCTGTCGTTCTTGATCTCTGCGTAATATATGACGCTTTGCACATAGGCTCAACACATATGGATATTGACAAAAAGTAAACCTGGAATAAGTTTAAGGTACTTGTAATTAAAAAATAACAATAGAAGTAAGCAGTTCAGGACTGTGAAATTTGGAATTTTAGCTTTTCAATAATAGTATTCAGAATCAAAATTTCATACAGACACTGAAAAGTATTAAGTTGATTTCTCAACAGACAACTATAGAAGACTTGAATACGTCATAGACATGTGTTCGAAAAAGACCTCGAGTTAGACTCGAAATATTTTTTAAATGTTTAATGGAAAGGAGCTCATGGGAAGCATGTGGCTTGCCAAGCATTTTGTGCAACCCCCAGCTCTTGGATAAATTTGTGGAAATTTCTTACAAACAAACACAAAATTTAGATTCATTTTTAAACTTTATATAAAAAATCTAATCTATAAATTGTTAAAATAATAATATTTTTCCATCTCTGATCAGTAATGTTAGCCACCATTAAATTCGACACCATCATATCAAATGGGAATAGTAACTGTGACATCACAATCAATTTCTCAATACCACCCTTTGCAAAAAAATAATTTCTGAATGCGGCCTTGCAAAAAAAATTGGCCATCCCTGGTTTAATGAGTTTTAAGAATAAGAAAAGAGTCATCCGGAAATCTTCATCGTCTCCGCAGCGCTGGTTTAAACTAAATAAAAAAGTTATCAACATAACATTTTAACTGCTTACCCTGGATGACTCGCAGGACTCTGCCATTGTTTAAATTCAGCCATAACATCGATATGATCAAGACTAACATTATAAAATTCTCGATATGATATTAATCTTGGTTTGATCAGGTTGTTTGCATTATCTGTAAAACGAAACATATAAGTAGGTGCAGCAAATCTAAAATTTTGATAAGAGAATTGAAAGAAAATAAGAGAAAATGGATTTAATAATGACATAAATTAGCACGCCGTTAGGTTATCAGCTAGTGTGGTCTGGTATCGGATGTCATGGAAAATAGCTCTCAGAGTGTCAAAAATTAGACATAAAATACTGAAGTTCAAAAATGATTTTGCCCTACAGTATTAGCAAAGACTCTAATAAGCCTTCCTTTTTTATGAAGACTTTTTTACTCTTGCACTCTGAATAAGTTTTGTGCAAGAAGCTACCATTTTCGGAACCGCCAGGATCTTTCCAGTCTGGCAACATAAACATAATTTATTACCACAAGGGTGAGGTGGCGGACATGGGCTTTGAAGCATATCTTCGAACAGAGGCGTCAAATTACTTAGGTCTAATTAGGCCATTGCGGCCACTTCAAGTTACTTTTTTATTGAGATGGTCAGGCTAATATTAAAATGTACTTACACAATAGTGTCATCACTTTCATAGCTGACGGTATCCACCATGGACATTTAGTCATTGGTGGTAACTCTTGTTGTTTACAATTTTTATCAGGAAATAAACGAAGAGTTATGAACTGATGAATTCTTTCTACAATCGGACGAAATCTTGGTGTTGATAATCTATACAAACAAATATAATAATTGAGTAAAAGGTTGAAACTTGAGTGATAATATCCATAGCAATACTTATAAAAAAGAAAAAGGTAATTAGTTCATGTTTTAACTTAATAACAAGCAATGACACTTTGATTAGGCATCTTGAATATTTTACTTAAGACAAGAAAGATTTCACGTAAAGTTAGAATACAAAACCAGTGAAACCAACTTTACCTATTGACATGCTTTATCAGCAATGTTTATCAGCATATAAATATCCGAATTATTTTTCATTATTAATAAAAACTGTGGAAATTTTAAAAATTATTTTGAACAAACTGAAATAAAATTATCTACTTAATCATAAAATATTCATATAGGCTGAATGATTCATCTAAAGTTTGAAGTAAAATACAGAAATGTTGAGAATACGAAAATGGAGAAATGAATATAGAAATAAGCTTATTATAAATTATATTAGAGTGATCCATTTGAATACGGACTGAAAGAACTAAATAGTACTAAATTCATCATTTATGCAGAAAGAATATGATATGCATTAATTAAATTATGTTTTCACTGAACACTACAATTTGGTTAAAGTTTTTGGTATTGTTTATTTTTTTAAATTTCAATGATAATCACAGATTTCAAAATTAATCTAATAACAAGAGACCAATGCTCGAATATAGGAACTGACCAAAACGATGTAGTACGATTATGCAATCTGTCACATAAAACTATCTGTCATAAAAACGTGATCCCATGAATAAAAATAAAACATCGAAATTTTGGATGAATTATCAGATCTCATAGAAAATTTAGGAACATATAAAAGTAATAGCCTTCTAAACCATCAAAAATTTCAAAGCAATTGGTCCAGTAATTAATGAAAAAAGACATTTCTACATAACTAGTTTATATTGCCTAATGGTCAAAGCGATAGACCGGTGTTTCTCGAACGGTGGCGCAAGAATTAAAAATAAATTTGTCCATAACATATCAGTGAGCATTACAAAAAATATCACCTTCTTAGCCATTGTGTTATGAGAGTTTGCTCTTTTTCATGTAATGTTGCAATTTGTCTCAAAAGATGAGCGTATATGACGTAAGTTGATGCTCGACTGAAGAGTGGGTTTTGCAATAGGATAAAGTAAGCTCGAAGTTCATTTTCTGACTTTGCTCTGAATTAGAATGTTAAATAATGGATGCGACAAATTTACATAAATTGAAATATGATAAATTATTCAATATGAAATTTAGAATAACAAATAGTTTTAGCCATAATGCAAAAAGAAAAGGACAATTTGCCAGGACAAGACATTGAGTAAAATTGCCTTGACGATTACTGATAATACACGGTATATTAATTTTTCCCAATAAAAAAGAAATTACAGAAATTGTAAATTAATGAATTCAATAAGTAACGGAAATTTGTAAACAGTTATTTATATCTTCAGGCATGTAAAATGGAATATTGTTCATTTTTTGAGCCATGATATTATGACAGAATTAATTGGATGGTTGAATGAATAATTCAATTTGTCATATCTTACCCCCTCCATTCATTCAAAAGACAATTGATTATCCCTTTCAATACTGTTTTCTGCGTTTCTTGTGGCTGATAAACAAAACAACATGATATGATACAGAATCTAACATGTAAGAAGTATAAAAAAGTTATAGTAATATATCAACTGCTAAATGGACAAATGACATGACAATTTTATTAATAATAAGAGTTTGCCTGCAGATTAATTTAGATGGCAATCATAGACATTTTGAACCCCAAACAAACTTCTCTTATTAAAAGGCCATTCTACTATGCATTGTAATTCAATGGCCAGTCGGACTGCTTCAACGCAATTTTAACGTTGAGATGGAACTGTCTACGTAATATTGACATTGTTTGAGTTAAAAAAAATAATGGGAATCTTTTGTTGTAGTAAGAATTGAAAGTAGTTAAGAAGTTGTTCTAAAGAGGAGACTAATCCCCATATTCATATCTAATCCATTTCAGACAAAGTCAAGTAGTAACAGTCATGTTGTGCTTGTCATTTAAAGAGTGTTTGATGACTGTGGTTGACAACTCTCAACATTCAAGTACTATTTGAAAAAATGTATCTGAAGATGAACTCAAATAGGGTATTCTATTCTGACAACTTAGATCATTTAGTTTAGATTAAAGAAATAATCTATGAGCATAAAGACAACACATAAACAAGACATAAATCTAAGAAAACTGAGAGCTGTTCTGAGTTGAAAACTTCACATGAATTTGAAATTGACAAGATTATAGAAGTTGGAAATAACCCAAAATAATTTCAGCCTAATACAAATTGTTTTTTCACCGTACTGCACTAAGGTAAGAAGAGCAATCCAAGTACAGTGAAAAGCTGCCAAATCTGTTTGAAAATCAGGAAAGTAGGTGAGCACATGTTTGAAGTAAAAACCAAGGGTTTTCTCAAACTAGGCCCTTGACCCACTAAAGAGCCACATAGAGTGTTCCACAGGGGGTCAAACTTAAAAACCATCCCTAAATAAGTACCATTGGCCATGACTACATTAATTTAAATTAATTTGAATGTCATTTGTTCAACTCTTTGATTATACTATATTCAATATTTTGCTTTCGTTTTTGGCTTTTCATTTTTTACCATGACACATAAAATAACTGATGGTAACATGTTAAAAATAAAACTAGCTATTGTTACTGAAAAGCAGGGGACCACAAATGCTGAGAGTCTTTGAGAAGAACCATTGCTCTACTATTTTCCCATTCTATCAATATTTTTATTACGCTACAGCTTAATAGCAAACAATAATTAGGCCTACTTCACAATACTTACCATTTCTAGTAATAATTCGTACATCATTCCCACAAACTTTTGTTCAATGAGAGGATCATTAAGTTGTGATGCTGATTGACTTCTGTTTTGCTGAATTTGAAGCTTTGGGTTTTCACTTCTGTAACATCCAAACCAAATACAATTAGCATCAAAATATTAATCAAAAATGAAACAATGACACCCTTTTTTTTGCCTGTCATATATATATATATTTATATATGGTAAAGTAAGAATTGAACATTGCACATTATTGGACATGAAGTGGACCTATGTATCGTTCTGTTATTAAGTTGTTGTTGTGAAAATATCGCTTCTAACTACTGAATCAATTGCTTTGAAACTTTCAATGGTAGAAGATTGCATTTTTTGCTAGAAGGCTATTACTTTTATTTATTTCAAAAATAGCTGTGGGCTCTATAGAATTCGTTTTCCACTTCGAAGTTTTGTGTGATGTCAACAAAATTGGTAAAATAATGTGGTTTAGTGTGTGCAATTTTACATCAATAGAATAGTTTTTTTTCATGACATTCAGCAATGAAGTTCAGCACGAAATGCTATTTTGCTAAGTCCTCTGTTTTCCCTATAATAATAATAACAATGAACAAAAAGTTATTAAAATTCAAAATTGTGTGCTGGTTCTGAGATCTCTATGATCTGGTGGTCAGACTACCGCCACAGGTACTGTAAAAGATTTGATTCTACTTCGTTTTGGCCTTTGTATCCATATATTTGAGGATTGCTCTCTTGTTTGAATTGAATGACTGAAATATTTCTAGTTTAACACAACTAAATGATTGGTCAACTTAGCAGCATAACAACATCTGGAATCCATCTTTTTTTTACAAAAAAAAATTTCGTAAAGGATTCATGTCGAATTTTTTTTGGTAAAATTTGGCAAAAATTTTGAGGCAAAATGATTGTTTTTACCAGTTCTTAATAAACTTTGAATTAAAAAATATATATACATATCATACATTTGTGTTTGGATCTTCAAATTGTAAAGGATGAATCTAGAATGGATATCATTCATACATGACATTCTTCATCCAAAAAATTTCAGTTCACACACCGCGCTCAACCAAAACTGAAAATTCATTATCCCTATTTTTAACCAGAATGATAGAACGTGAAATAAAATTGTGACGCCACTATTGTAATATGACATATCTTTTGTTTGAATAAAATATATTCATCAAAGGTATGCGGCATAAAAGCCTACAGATCACACACCCAGGTCAAGTTGTTATACAATGAAAAAGAAAACATTGAGTCCAATAAAAACATAAAATTCTTATTTGTATTGCTGTTAAAAATCTCATCTAAACACAAGAGCAGATGTTACTACGATAACATTGTCTGACAAGATTTAAAAATCATGGTAAATTGAATAATATAAACATGGTAACTAACAAACCTCTTTTTAAATGTGCTGCTGATGGATGTAAATGAATCAAATGTTGCTCTATAAAATTCTTGCATCTTCTGTGTCATTTTGGTGTTACTGCTGCTGGGTTTTCTCCATTTTTGAACTTCATTCCTATAAAAATAGTGAATTACGTCAATTCAAATTGTTCCACGATTAAACCAATCTGGAAATTTAAGATGAAATCACAGGTAATACTAAAATGATGAATAAACTCAAAAAATGTTAAAGTTTCTTACAAATACTCAAATTCCCTTTCTTCCACATCAAAAAACTACTGCTAATCACAACAATTCTCATTCAATTATTTTGTGATGACCTCAGAACAATGATTTTGTTTCATCACAAAATATTAATCATGTTTTCAGTTTGCTCAATCCTTGTCACAAATATTGTTTTATAATAATGTTGAAACATTGAAGTTAATGTAGTAATTATAAAAAATCATGCGGTAAGATGATGTATCAAGTTTGAAATCATAAAGCCTAAAACTCAAGAACAGCATGATGAGTTAACCATATCCTTGGTAATCCTAGAACATTTACAAATTACACAATCGTATTTGCAACAAAACATAAATTTGCATACTAGGCAAAGTGTCATAGAGAAATACTTGTCTCAAATCAAGTAGTTAGAGTTATGTTATCATTGCTAAAATTGGAGAAAAATGTACATTGACATTTCCATCAGTTCGAATATGTGATTTCATGTTTAGAGATTCTACTGATTAAAAAACAGGTAATATTGAAAAACTCTCACTTGTGGATATGTTAAAGAGGCTTGATATCATTAAAACATAGATTCTAAAAGTTCTCAGTACGGAGCCCCTGGGCTCTGCGAGAGAAACCTAGGGGCACAACGCACAAGCCTATTGTTCGCTTATTAAATTACTGAATATTTTTTGAATGCAGAGCAGAAAATAAATCCAAGTCTTTAAATGAAGCAATTTAATTTAATTAATCGGTAATTAACAATGTATTTTTTTTTTCATAAATTCATTGTATTTGTGAGGCTCCCTAAATAATAGTCAACCTCTTTATGGGCTCCATAACACCAAAAGTTTGACAACCCCTGATATATAAAACAACCCCACAGGCTACAACCAATAAGAATTTTACAGACACAGAATTAAAGTAAGATCTACTCAAGTCAAAATGGTGATAGAAAAAGTAATATCCTTAAATGGAACACTTATCATTTCTAAAGTAGCTTTCAACACTTTATATTTCAAGTAGAAGAAACTCCCCACTTGATGACAATGGAGAATAGGTAGGTTGAGATTCAATCATAACCAAAGTTTTTGATATATCATACAATTTGGAAAGTTAACTCTATCAGCTAAACAATAGGCGCTATGGATCACAGGGACCAAATTTATAACCAGATTTCAAAATCACTTCACTTTACAAAGTTATTATTAGTACCGTAAGTCAATTCGAGCAAATCAAATTTTTTTTAAATTATTTGAAATAGCCTGGGTTGATTCAGTACTTTCATCTAAAACCAATCAAGCGAAAATCCTTATGCTATATTATTGTGAATAATGAAGTTTCTACACCTATCACCAATACAAACAAAACGTGACATTTTCAGGACTAGAAATTTTTTCAACTATTTTGTTTTGATATTCGAATACTTCATATATCGTACATACTCGCAGATAGGTTGCAATTTTTTCCTTATATTTTAAAAAAAAATATAAGTGCGACCAATCAGCTCGACATAAGTGCAAATCGCCACCAAGTCAGAACAAAATTGAAAGTTTTCCGGCTATTGCAAGTACTGTATTTTTTTTGTCATTTCTCAAACAGGGTTAGGCGTCTGAATGTACTGGCAATGATATACAGGTTTGTAGCGAGTTGGTCATTCACAAAAATCGTATGGTCTGCGCTTGCGTACATGCACTTATTATCGCTCACAGGTGTCATGCACAAGTGTTCACCTAGTAATAGGCAAGATAGATAGATCAGGATGCAATATGAAAACAATCCAGGAATACTTTTTTATGAAAATACCACAGAAATATATACTAGGAAATCATCATATTTTCGCATATGGTACAAATTAGTCTTTTGCAAATATAATTGTCATTTTCATAAAAAAGCCTTATTTGAACGAATTATCTATATATCAACATTTACATTGATTATATAAAACAACCATTTCCAATAATCAGAGGTGTTTATCAAAATTGGTAAACAAATTAAATATTATCAAATGAAAGTGAAAAATCTAGGATGCGTCAAAAGACTTGACTTGATAGCTTCAAACAAAGAATCTCTATTGACTCAGATCTTGAGAGAGATTGTTATTATAGATAATAAACTACATTAGGATATTATTCATATTACAAATTGTTGAACCAACCACTTAATAACTTTTTAATAACTAATCATTTTTTCAAACGTCAATATATTTTTTTAAATAATGAAAATAAAATAATAAAATACGCTGAAGAATATTACCTGAACTGCTTGAAAGACATTGTATTAATTGCTTTGTTTTCATCAAATTTTTTCTCATTGAGAGATTGTTGAGTTGATTTTGCAATAAATCGAGATCTTTCTGATGATTTATTGTTGGATCTACTTGATGACGACTTAATTGCGCCCTAAAATATTAGGTTATCAATATTTATATTTTTACAATAATTACTGGCAACAAATTTACGTTATTTTGAGGGGAAATAATAAATTACAGTATTTTTACAATTGAATTGAATGTAAAGCATCTTAACATTAAATAAAACAACAACAATATCAGGTGTCCATTATGTGCTTCCAAAGAATAAATTTATGATCATGTTAGAAAGATCCCCTACATATGTTCAGATCATACCGACGCATCAAAACCAAACAGTGCTAAGTCCACTTTTCCCAAAAACGACATTTTTCAACTGCTGATTTTCCTGGACTAAGCTCTACATTTTGGTCTATTTGCCTTATCTCTAGGTGCTCTAGATCTCCAGATAGCTATGGACATAACCCTGCTTTTTTTAGGGCATTTGAGACCTAAACAGAGCTGTGTTCGCTATAGTGGACTTAGCTCTGGATAACTGCATTGTAAGTCGGTGCTAAGTCCGTTTTTTGGACATAGCTCCTCCCAAAAATTTGAGTTAAATATAATAGAAAGCGCTAAGTCCATACCAGCTCTCAGTCATAGCTCAGTGTTAGCTGTTTTTTATGTTTACAGTAGAGGGAATTAGAAAGTTATAATGCATTGCCATAACCACTTTCCAACTGCTGTTTTTAAATTATTAAAATTTACATAATTATGGAATTTTCAAGTCGGAAATATATCTTTCAAGCAAAGCCAAGCAAAGTGTGAACCAGCCAGAGGACTTTACTCAGTAACGATATCCCATCTGATAAGAAATCTAACCAGAATATGATTGTCTCAGTACATACAAAAAATGAGATGCAGTCCGAGAAAAGATACTAAGACTGATCAAAAACGTAATCAGGAAGTCAACAGAGTCTACACTTTTTTAAATCCAGAAAGCAACGAGTTGGTGCAAGTGTGTAAGAACTTTTTTTAGATTCCCCCGAATATAAGCAAGAAAAGGGTGGAAACATCACTGGTTCACTGGAGAAAGATATGGTGACCACAACAAAGTCACCAGGGAAAGGCAGGAGCCATTTATAACTCATATAAAATTGTTTCCAGTTGTTGAATCACATTATTTGAGAAAAGACAGTCAGTGGGAATATCTTCATGAGTATCTGACTGTACGACAAATGTATGAAAAATATATGAGATTTGATGCGAAGAAAATAGCTCTGCAGTTGAATCATATGATTTTTATTTACGCATATCCAATGAAAAATTCAATCTTAAATTTCACCGACCTAAAATAGATGTGTGTGATCAATGCTTTCAGCTTTCAAAAAATGCATAAATCTCTATTGACTGACGAAGATTTCGAAAATCAAACTAAGCATATCCAAGAAAAGGACATGGTGCGTTCAATGAAGAGGGAAATGAAAGAAAAATCCACAACAGATTCTTCACTTCATGTGGCAGCTTTTGACCTTCAGAAAACTCTTCTTTGTCTTTGTGGACAAGTGTCCTCCTTTTACTACACACAAATGCTGAAAAATTTCAACTTTACAGTAACTGACATTCAGTCCATGCACAAGAGTTGCTATCTTTGGAATGAAGAATAAGGGTGAAAAAGCTCTTGTAAAATAGCGACTGCAGTGTTGATACCTGTCCTCTCTCACCACAGCAGTGAAGACTGTGCAACTTTTCTGTGACCGCTGCAGTGGGCAAAATAAATAGAGGAGCTGCATTTCGATGAAATAACACTTAATTTTCTAATTACAGGTCATTCTCAAAATGAGAATGACACAGCCCATTCGGTGAGGAGCTCCAGAAAGTTGACCTCAACTCTTTGGTTCTAAAGTCAGCAAGACCAGCAACACAAAAAAGACAGAATATAAAAGAGTCAGCAGGGAGAAATACAAGAGTTTAACAACATTGTGTAATAAGAATTTAATCCCCACAAACCACAAGGCATTCTACGAATTGCTTCCAGTAATTGATGAAAGTTAGATTTCATGAGCAGAAACACTAGCTCAAACTTTTGTAAAAGTAAAATAATTTAAAACAGTTTTACATATTGGGCTTGATTTAAATTTTTTTTATTATTTTCTTTGACCATTCCTGATTGAGAATTTACAACAGTTTCTTTCTTAACTTTGTTTAGTAATTTAGTTGGCAATGGTTCTGAGAAGGAAGATAATATAAAAAATGCAGTAATCAGTAGCAATAGCAGTCTGATAAAAATTGGATGCTAGATAACTATTGTCAGCAAGATTCAGAAGCAGAAATATTTTCTAACGTGGAGATAAGCTCACAAAAAGTGTCAAAAACATTGTAAAAGGGAATTATTGACGTTTATCAATGACAAGTTGCCTTTATAATAGCATAATAAAGGGGCCCTAAGTCCAATAAAAAAATTCTGGTTCAGAAAATCGAGAGCAAAAAATGGCCCAAGTCCAAAAAACTCCCCCCCAAAAAAATTTGGGGGGCAACACAAATTTTTTTATACCACTCAAATATGGCCTTCATTGTAACTTTGGTGGACCATAAAAACTAGACATCCTCGATGTAAGGTATTAGAGAAATAAAAAAAAGAAACAAAAAAAAAACGTTTTTTGCGTTTTTCTCAAAACTAGAAAAATGGACTTAGCCCAGTTTGGATTTCATGCGTCGATACAATTGAGCCGCCTATTCATTCATGCCTTATTATCATAAATCTGAAAACATGTTTCTTCGAGAGGTCATGCTACATTATTCTGTTTGATAAAAGTGAAATTGCTACAAGCAATATAAAACATGTAGCCAGGTGTGAAAACACTATGAGAACAACAATAATATATTTCTTGAAAATATTACAATTCAATGATTTGAAGAAATTTCAATTGCCCAGTGGGTAGCAAAAGGGCTCAATGGGGGTAGCATTAGAATCTTTTCGACACTAACGAAATAAAATATCGAACAAATATAGAAGATTTTGAATCAGTACAGAAACCCACATCACCGAAGTAGAGCAAGATTCGACCTTTTGTGCATGAATATGCAAGCACATCAGTCTCATTAAAAGTTTTGTCGATTATATTATGTTTTTTAAATTTTTGTTGTATTTTTCAATTTTGCTTTATTTTTACTTTAGTTCCTGGGGATTGCAAAAAAAATTTCTCTCATAATCTCGACTCAAGAAAGCTTGACTTTTATTTTTGCTCGTCCACTATATTAAATGCATTTAAATCAAAGGTGTGCAATATTATTGTCGGTGGGCCATATAACTAACTTCAGACATCTAGCTGGGCCACACAAAAAGTCGCTTAGCTTTACAGTAATAAATGCACCAGGCAAAACGGCGAAAAATTTACCCCAGCGACAAGAGCAAAAAACAGTATTTTCACCACTGTAGACGCCTTTTTAAACATAAACTGTCAGATTAAGATTTCATGCTTGATGGGGAAAAATCTGAGTGATGAAGGGCCACACTAAATGGCCTCGCGGGCCAGGTTGTGAACCACGGACCGCCTGTTGAACCCCTGATTTAGGTTGAAATGACATAAAAAAAATTTGAATCATATTTACTTTTGGTGAAGGTAGTCTTTGAGTATTTCGATGATGTAACTCGTCAACATGTGAAGAAGCATTTAGACTTGATTTGGTTTGCATCGGCAATGGACTTGCTGGTGGTTCTTGTGTCAGTGCAATGTTGTCGGAAAATGTACCTTGATTTCTATCTGTGCTACAAGGACTATGCCCAGATGTGAAACTTGTGCTTGCCATCTCTTGATTAAATGGATCCCATCCATCAATATCAATGCCACTATTGTGAGTCCGAGGCATATTGTGACAAGATGATGATTGTAATACAGGAGATAGTTGTGAAAATAATGTAGGTGATTGTTGTTGTGTTATGGGTGAATTTGGCATCAGTGCTGGAAGGTTGCCTAAAAAAATAATTTTGATTCGAGTGAGGAGAAACTAGCAAAGTGCTATAGGCAGAGGTGTCCAAAATAAATTTGAATTGGTTCAAATTCAATTGATTCGATATGATGAATTCTTATATTTTGAGTATTTGATCGATTGAATTGTCCTAGTATGTCCAGGCCTTCATTTAATTCTGGAAAACTGTGAGAATGGAGAACTCATCAAATTAAGGCTTATCTTAACTTTTCGCATTTCTGCAAACTCATTGAATATAAATTGACATGTTTTCTCGGTCTGACATATAGTATAGTACCACGTACCACAAGTACTTCTGGAGGACATGGCTCTACAAATTTTCGCATATATCATTCCTAAAATCCCACCTAACTGCGTCTTCAGAAAAATGTTGTCATAGTGATGTAATGAGGCCCACCAATTATACGGACAAATGTCCAAAATGTGCGTTTTAAATTTTTCCTCCTAACAATCTTGATATGAAAAGTTCGCCGGTGTTAGTGTTCGTTATCGTCAGCGCAAATGCCATTATGAGCAATCGTAGCTATACTTTAGCAAGCTCTATGACATGATTATGAAGTCGCAGTGACATAATTTTTGGTTGAAGTAGTCAGATGTGGGTTAGGAATAAGACATGCAAAACTGGCTATGCCACCCACATTAGAAATACTCGTGGCACTATACTATGCCCTATTTTCTTTGATGAGCATGATCCAGTCCTGATTATATTCAAAGAGGTGATTTTACAAAATATTCATAATAGTGAATTACAGTATCTTGGCCATTCCTGATGTAATGTTTATCATGTGCATCATTAATCTGAAATTAACATTATTTATACCTTTATACATAGTGTTCATTGCATTACGAGATCCATTGGAATTCGTCAAAGGCAAAACACTGTCAAGTGGATCAGCTACTGTTTTGCTTTTTACTGTTGTAGTTGTCTAAAAGAGAAGAATTATGCTTCTATTATATCATTGTTGGCAAGCAAAAATTTTTAAATTGTAAATCTAGCAAAGTTAAAAGGTAAAATATATGATGAGTTTTTTATATGTCATACGTTTGAGAAGCTCTCCGAATACACCTCGAGAAGATGTCAACTAAAATTAAATTTATTTTAAAAATATTATTAAATGATAGATACTCTCGCTTTTATATCTATGATATGTGTATTTAGAAAAGTAGGCAAAGGCAAGTATGAGAATTCTTACAGGAATTGGTGGAAGTACTTTTCGCCTTGCTCCACCTCGTGGAACACTTGCAGAAATGACATCTGTCTCATTGCAAATGGATGAGCTTGGAGAAAGTTCTTTCTCATCATCATGAGATGATTCAGATGGGATGGAATGCAAGGAGGTCATTGAGACCTGTATTTACTCACATAATACTGTAATACAAATTCTCAATACCATACAGACATTCCTGCAACCAATTCTGAAAATTCAAAAAAACGCTCGACGTTAATGATTCATTTTTTCTGTAAAAACCAGTAAGTAAAAACTTCACTTGGACACTTTTATGCATAGGCTATATGACATTGACGGATACTGGATTCGCTTTTGAACATACACAATTCTAATTTTCAATCGTAGTTCCTCCATCAACTGATCAACAAGGCAGCCAATGCCAATTCTGGATATTTTTAGAAGTGATAAAAGGAATACCGGTACTGCTGCCTGCCTGCCCTCAAGGTTTACATTTGATGCCAACAGTTTTGGTTTATCATTGAAGGATTAGGCAATATAAACATTACCTTAATTAACAGTACCGGTACCAGTACTGCAGTATCACTGTAATTTTCAGAAAGATTATATTTATATTTCCATCCCTTCAAGACATTTAAATTTGGTCTATACAGATGTACCGTACAGTCAGACAGTGTACAAGATTGTATACCGGTACCGGTAAGTCATTATTAGCTTGAGTGCTTAAAAAGTAAAACAGCTGGAACATTCAATAAATTCACGTATTTTTTTTTCGTTTATTTTTGGCCCAAGCCTCGTTTAACTAGATTTCTGTTTTCGTAATTTCTGGCCCAAGCCTCGTTTAACTAGGTTTGTTTTTTTGTGATCTTTTTTGTTTAGGCCTATGTCTGTATGTGCTGGTGGGCACATGATATTTTTCATGTTTTAAACTTCTTTGAAGGTTTTGCTCGCTCTCCAGAATTCTCGATTTATAATTTGTGTGTATTGTCAGATTTAGGAGTTTTCAAAATAAAATCTATATATACCTCCTGTGCTCAAACCCTTTTGACATTAATAACTTATGCCCATCACCCATATCTGCATATACTGATATAGGGATCTTAATTGACTTTACCGGCTGCATTGAGATGAATCATTTTGAAATTCGCCATGAAAACGTAAGCCAATGCACTAGCATACCATGCTGAAATCTAATCCTAACCATCGAAAGTGAACCAACGACGCGACAGACACTACCAAAGTGACTATATACTGTTATAGTCACTGTGGACATTACCATACATACAGCGTTCTTGTTGCGAAAAGGCTACGGCGCCACTACCGTGAACAACATTTTCGTGACTAAATTGATGTAATGGTTAAATTAACAAAGAACTCGACTTATTTATAGGCCTACTGATAATAATACAGTAGACTGATTTCTCGCAAGAAAACAAGCAGTGGTTTTTGTTTGTTCGAAATCTTTTTTCACAATAACGAAATTTACCCCCAAGAATGAAGAAATTTACCTCCACGGGTATATTTACCCCAGATTGAGATTGAGAGATTGGCTGATTTATAGGCTTCTATATGATATTTGTCGGAAGTACTTAAACATTCTATATGATACTTTCGATATGTTGTACAAGCAAAAATATATTTCTTGTGTAGTTTTTGTGAATTTATTATTTCAAGAATCTTTGCATAATATTTATGGAAGTAAAAAGGCAAAACTCTTTGGAAATTAGTCTTGTTCCAACAACTAGACAGCAAAGCTATCATGAGAAGATTATACGTCAGGGCAAGGTCTGGCGCGCAGCCCCAACGGGAGGGAGGTTGGGATTATATTCTTGAAATTGAATTCGAAATCACTCTTCTGGTGATTAGGTCATTATTCGTCGCGTTCTCAAACGAAAATTTCAGGAGCAAGCGTCCCGGTATAGGATGCATTACGCAGTCAGCGAACGTAAGAGATATTGGTTTTTCAGACGGTATTGCCAGATCAAGAACATTACTTTGTATTTGCAATGCAGTATGGTAAGAGTTATTGTAAACAGAATGGACGCTATTAAAAGCAGACCTTAGGATTTGGAAATCTACAAAATTTTGCGGTACAACCATGATTAACTCTGTAAATTTGAAATAAATCATGACATCGCTGCAAAATGAAAATCTATTTTCATGATTCCTCCAAGTGATGTCATCACGGCTGGATGTATATGGCTTGTCCCAGTCTTAATCTGAATGTCGTATTTTGTAAAGGCTATTGGGCAGTCGAATGTATTGCAGTTTTGACTTTTGAGATTTTCTGTACGATGCAGCTCCCATAGTAGAATTAGTCAGATACGGTTTTTTGTGGCGTACTCGATATTGTTCATTTAGTTTATTTAGAAGACAAGACAGTAGGCTATATCCCCGGACCAGAAATATTTATTTATAATACCTATATAGATTGAAGACTTGACAGATAAATTGCAGTTTCATGTATTGCGAAGTTTGTGGTGTTCAGCGTGTTTTTTTGGCAGAGAAGAAGACACGAAGCAACGTTAAATCAAATGTTTACTAGTGCTTCTACATTAAATACGGAAACTTAGTGAATATGGTAATATGTTCATAACAGGATTGTTTTTAGAATATTCTCCTTGACGTTTTAAATTAAGTGTGTTCGGCAAAAAAAAAAAAATTAGTTCTGATGACAAACGATAAAACCACAAAAACAGAACCTGTAAAATCACGGTGTATACCAGGGGTTCCCAACCTTTTTATTTCAATTTCCTACTTTCTATTTAGGCTGAGTTTTTATTTCCCATTGGTCATTGCCTCATTTGATGGAGCTACATAGAACCATTGTAGATGCTCTTAGTGCGGAAACGCATTCCGGCAGTTGCTCAAAATTTTTCCTTACAAACGTGAAAAGTAGCCGAGATGACTATGATCGTATTTTATTTTTGCATAAGCTATAACCTTTTATTAACAGTTTAGCAGAATGGAGAGACTGGTCAAATATTTTTCATCAAAGCGCGTGCCTACCCAATATATCTGAGACATTTGAAAGAAAACTGTTCACTTTTGCGGCTCTGCAACGAAAATCTTCTTGCGTAACATTTAAAGCATTGGTGCTCGTTCGAGACATGTCTGTGAGGTTGTTCCCGGCCGACCAAAAATCAAAATGAGTTATGTAGCACGATTAGAATATCATGGCCAACAACGTGATATTTTAGTAAAGTTTCCAATAATTGAATGGGAATCTCTTTCCGCTTCATTCCGCTTATTGTGATTTTCATTGTGTAATATTTAATTGCGTTGTTGTGCATACATTTTTAGAGAAGCATTCCATTTCCCACCTGCAACCTCCAAAATTCCCACTAGTGGGAAATTTCCCACCGGTTGGGAACCACTGGTGTAAACTGTAGTAGAGCATGCTCGCGTTATGTTTTTAGCGTGTTTATATAACTATACCATTTTATTGAACTTTACATGATGTATACTGCATGAATATGTATATATATTTATAGGAAATAAAGAATATTTATTAAATAAATCTGGATGCGTACATGTGACGTTCATCTGGAAGAAATGTACAACAATGTGCTTTGGACAACTATTTTAAAATTACATCTATAGCAAATACAAAGCTGTACAGGAACTCATGATATGGATGAACATTCTGTGAAAGTAAAACCCTATGCTTGCAAGCAATAGGACCTTTATGATAAAAAATTCTTTGCAAAAATATATGCAAATTCATACAGGAAAGCACATTTGGGAAACTTGTGGAAAATTTTCACATCACCAAGTGAATATGCGCGTCATATTTCAATTCATACGGGAGAAAAACCATATCATTGCGAGCAATATGGTAAATGCAGTGGCGGCGCGTCAATAGGGCCAACCGGGGCAATGCCCCGGTTGTTTTTTCGGTATAATAAAAAATATTCGAAAAATACCTCAATATCGGTTGCACAGACTGTCTACACTAGCCATATTCTCCCGACATGATTCATTTTTCGCTCGCAAAGCCTTCGCCGAACGTCGACGGGGCGACGCCGATTTTGCCCCGGCTGCTCATTGTATGTCGTATTCTCTCTTTCATCTTCCACTCGCCGCGTTATTCTCGTTTGTTTTCTGTTTCTTTTACTAAATCATCGGGGCTAGCCCCGAAATTATGACGACACAATGCCGACGTTTCTTACAACAACGTGTTGACTAGGGTTGGATTATCCGGATAGCGGTTATCCGGATAACCGGTTAACCGAGAGGTATTTTACTATCTGATATCCGGATAATATTGTGACGGTTAACCGGATAATAGAGCAATATAAATAATGTATATGCGCATTAGTAATTTTTATATTTTTTGTTGAGTGGCGTCTTGACATCTCCCAGACTCCAGAGCATATAATAACACCTTCTATTCACACTACTCTGCCCATATTTAGCCACCAATTAGGTTGAAAAGTATTGAATGTGTGGGTGTGAGTTTGTGGCTTTTTGGTCGGGTGTGGCTTTTAGTTTATTGCGTGTATTGAAGGAACGCATTTCATGATGGAACAAGCCAGGACTTAATTCCCAATACTTTGTAATCTATGTGATCTGTGTAGCATTTCAAAATTTTCGGTATACGATTGCATGTAATGTGCATGTTTTCAACTTTTTAAATTTTTCTATTGCGCAAAATAACCAATTTGTGGCTGATTCAAGCATTTTAAAATGTCTTTCCATAATAACTCTGTTCAACGTATCTCGCGATTGCGTCGACATACGTTAAAATTAAAGCACTTCTACTATAAAATGCCACCGCTTTCTGCATATATGAAAATACGTAGTAAGCTGCACAAATAATATCAGTTTTTATTCGTATTTTTGCGATCTTGCGAATTTGAGCTATTAACAATAGAACTGTGTGGTGGTTTTTGGTCAATTCGCCGTAAAAATCTTGCGAAATCGGATCTTTAAAATTAGCAGTAACTATCCGGTCAACCGGATAGTTAAAATACGGAATACCCGGATATATCCGTTATCCGGATAGTAAAAATTATAGGTATCCGAACTAACCCTAGTGTTGACATATTCACGCATTCCTTCTCGTTCGTTGGTTGCTTGAAGAGTTGATAGTTTCCTCGCCTTCGTTTTTGTCGCTTGTTTCGCTATTTGAATCAGTTAGAGACCTTTAGTCCATTTTCTTTCGATTTTCCACATTCCTTTTGAGCTCCTCGCTTCTTTCCGGCTTCGCATTTTTTAGCCTTAGACCTCATAATGAA